TTATTCTATCTAATTTCCTAGTGTTGATATATTGTTTGAGAACAAGAAAACATATATAATCCGGTGATTAATTATTTGCAATATTCAGCTTATGATAAATCTTATATATTATTATACTTTACCGTTGTATATTATTATAGCATACTATTATATTGTACTTCAAGTGACTATCATAAAAACATATGAGTGCACAGTGCAAACTTTCCTTACCACCTTAGTTGACCTGTAAGTTAGCACAACTTCTTCTTGCGACTAACGTAAGGTTCTGAGGTGTTAAGAGGACTTCTAATGTAAGAACTTCAGAAAGCGCAATTATATATATATTATGTAGCTTAAAGTTCTTAATAATTACTACCTGAAGATTCAACTATACATATTCAATATTTCGTAGGAAAATAAGAGTGAAATACAATATTAGGTTGGTGTTTAAATAACAATGCACTATAAAAAAAATCACTAACGGCATATTACCTATATGCTATGAAGCAACAGAATTTGAAATTCCTTGTATTGTAGATTGAAATATAACTTGACGAAATTGGCTTTAATACAAGTTTTTTCAATCAAACAAGCACGTATGAAATATATTTCGTTTCAATTATTTTTACGAAATTATTTGGTTACTATAATTTTTTGTTTATCACTATTAAAAGTTACAACATATTATAGTGCTTTGCAGACAAATATAAATTATGACTTATCAGTATTATTTATCCATTTCTTACAGTGAAACTGCCTCAGCAAGTTAGTTGAAAGAGCAGGTCGAATGAAGAATTCATGAGTTTAATATAGCATATAGTATAGGTATGCACAGTGAAACCTTTTAAGCAGTAACTTACAATGTTGGAATCAAAAATATCTTAGTATAAGCTTATAACAATATTTAAGTTTATAACCCAATATAAATGCAAAATGTCTACTAAATACTTAAATATATTTTTCCATTAATATTGTTGAGTTAATTTAATATTCACGGAATCAATATTTAAAGTTACCTAATACATAAACTATTTGAAAATTTCAATTAAAATAATAAGCTTTTATCGAAACACATTTAAAAATTGAAAGAAAAAACAATTTTCTTTATAATATTATTTGCAACTACCAACTATTTGACTAAACCGAATTTCAAAGTATCATAACACAATTACTGTGTTATTTCAATATTCTCCTAAAAAAAAACATACCATTCAAAATACATTATTTTAGTGGTATTTTTAATACATTTTTATAATAATATTATTTTTTGCGTCTTTTCCGTTAACTACCAACCAATTTTCCGTAATCAAACAAGATTTAGGTTCACACATAAACCACTTAACCTAACTACAATAGTATCAGGGTTATACCTTACGCGAATAGGTATATGGTTGGCTATGCCTAGCCCTTTAGAGGATTGCCCCATCCTCACATCCCTTAACCCTTTACACCCCATTGGTGAGTGACAGATAATGAAAATAACCAATAAATATTTATAATAAGAGGTAGTGTTCTTCAGAATAATTTTATAATAATTTTTAGTTTTTACAGAACTCTACTACTCTGCGCTGAGATGAATGAAGCAAGAATGCAAGATATTAATATATTTCATCTCGAGTTGTGTGAAAAAAAAAACTGAATAGTAATTATGTATAAAATAGTTCCAGTAAAAAATGAAGAGTTGAGATATTTTTATAGTAAATCCAAAATCTCTTATTACTCAAATAATATATAGTATTTTATTATTAATCGTGCTATATTTGTTACTATGCGTTGGTATAGTTTCTAAAGAATTCACAGAAGGAATAGTACACAAATATTAAACGTATTTTTCAAATTCTAAGAAAATAGTGACGAGACCTACGTCATGTGAACGCCGGAAGGTAAAGCATATATTGTCAAAAAGTTTTATTATACTATTTTGACAACACTCCAATAAATTGATTCGTAATGATTATTGTGACTTATACTAACAAAATAACGCATTCTTTACATATTTTTAACTTTTATTACAATCTGCCTACGAATTACTGAGTAAACTTATTTTATATATGTAAAATATATTTTTTTTTTTTTTTTTGTCTTGTCAATTTAATTTTTGAACCCTGACCAATACAAATGCATCTAAAAATGTATGGTGTACAAGATGAAAAAATCAATAAATAACTACAAAAGTTAAAAACATTATAAAAAATGAAAGTAGAAATCAAAAAAAGTAAATATAACCTATAGTAACTAAAGATTTTAAATAAAAAAACTCGTATTAAAAAGTACCAAATATTTTAAATTAAAAATGTTTTATTTATAGTATGCATACAAATTTAATATATTTTTCAGAAGACAAAGTCAAATTTGAATTGTTATTTTACTAGTTCCTATACATTTTAAGTAATAATATAATATAATATCTTTATCATGCACCAGGGTGGCAGGGTATGCAAATCGAGAAGACTTTTCTACACGGGTCTTAATATCTTCTCCGTATTTTTTTTTTTTTTTTAGTCTTAATACGGCGTATCATATAGGCAAAAGTGCTACATTGATGTAAAGGAACGATTTTCTTATATTCTTAGCTTTTTAATTTGTTAGCTACTAAAATAAGCCTTAATAATAAACTGTCAATAGTGTCGTGTAAAGGAGACACTACACCGGCATGCGCTGTCTCCGTCCAACAAGGCAAATTGTATGTTCCAAATTATCTATTTAAAACTATTTTGATTAATAATAAAGCGAATTGACCTATTGTCAAATTTAGAAGTAAGAATATTATCTCGAGAACTCCATAAGGTTTTTTTTATATTTTAACTATTAAGAAATTTATTATGTTTTAAAATTGTCAATTCGGTCTTATATCGAACATACTTAGGTTAAAATAATATATTATTCAGAAAGTACAATTTACTATGTTATGTGTTTGTAAGTTAGAGAGAACGCATGCGGCTGTAGAGCCCCTTTAATAAACTGCTTTTGCAAATTAACATTAACATTTGAAATGTGGACAGCAATTAGGTAAGATAACAATAAATTATATAAAAATTATATATTCAATTAAATACATTTCTCATATTTTTAGAGGGGGGATGGGCGTCCTTTATAAGGAAATAAGTTAGAATTGAAATGTTATAATAATATGACCAATAATTTAAAATTGCCGCTTTATAAGTCAAAATATGACAATAGTTTTTATTTCTGTAAAGCTACTTCTAAAGTGTCTTTTTATTTCCTTTGAAATTCTTTATTTAATCTCAATAATGCCGTATACAGAAATATATTTCAATTGATATGTACTTTTAAATACTTACATAATGTAAAACAAATGTTTTGGTATAATTAAATTTAATTATAAAAACAAAAATAATTTATTAGGTTATTTATAACATTTATGTAATCGTTATTTATTAGTATAATATTAACTATCAATTATTTACTTTAAGGAATGAGAAAAATAAATAATGTGACTATTTTAATGAATATAAAAAAATTTCATTTATATTTCTTAAAAAGTTGTGTATTATTTTAAAATAAGCCTCAAGTATCTTATACTCATTGTATTTCTTGTAGATTAAAAAAAACGGTCAACATTATGTAATGGAACCAATATTATACATTTTTAACAATATATTTTTAATTTTTCTAATCTTACTATATTTATGTATTTTGTATGTTTTTATGATTTTTTAAACTGGGAATAATAGAAATAATAATTTATATTTGATTCAAGTTAAATGAAAATATCGATTTATTAAAATTTACATTATTATAACAGCAAGTTGAACTCCAAAACGAAATAATCATATTATTATGAATTATGATTTTGTAATATATGCATAAATTATGATAACAATCAAAGCATGCTCGCGTATCAGACTAGTATAAACAACAACAGGTGCAATACATAAATACGTAAAATATTGACCAGTCGATATTAAACTATAATATAGATGTGTATTTTTATATCCATATAATTAATAATTACAGCATTCATCGAAATATAAATGCAATTATTTTATTACATTTCATTTTTCTTTTTTTCACCTAACTAAATCTTTTTTTTTTAAATTAAAAAACAATTTACGACATTAAACACTTTATTATTATTATTTCAAATTATGTCATGTATCAAATATCATTTTTATAGTCTTATAATTAACTCTCAAACTATTGTTTGGAATACATAAATGTCAATAAAAATCACAATAAAAAATTTAAAAATAGTGTTGTTGTTTAAACTATGACATAATCATTAAAACTATACATAAGAAATATACATTTTATAAATGTTAAATTACCGTACTATTTGACATATTTCACAGCATAAAAATATAAGTGTTATGATGTGTTATAAGTCATAACATACAAATTGCATAATTTTATAGTTTCTAAATGTCATACTATAATGACTATAATTATTATACTGATTTTAATTACGTTCCTTTCGGTTATATGTGAAGTTTAATATATTATACTACAACTTTACTATTGTTACGTTTTTACCGAAAGCTGTAAAGTATGATATAAGATATGCGATTTATGAATATTGGTTGGTTATCGAGTTGTTGAGTTTCAATTTTTATAATTTTTTTTATTTATTACTGTGTTGAAAGCTTGCTTGTGTATACCTAGTGAAATTGGAGAGGTATATAAAACCACTCAATACATAAACCTATCACGAACTCGACATTTTATTTTTTTTTGATACCAACTGATTTTTTTCTGTGTAACGATATGTTTTTATTCAATTTACAACATTGTAAAAAAATAATTGCTTAGTTAAGATTTTGCAAATATATATGTATATTTATTTATTAACTAATTTGTCCTCGTAGTGTTCTACTCTCACATTTTTTATTTAATTTTTTTTATATTCCCCAAACCAATGATACTTGAGTCACTAGGTGGAAAAGAGTAAATTTTACCAAGTTCTAGATTCATATACTATACATTTTATTACGAACAAGCATATACAACCTGCATGGTTCACATAACACAAATTTAAATATTTTATTATGCTGTTTGATTACCTGAGATGATTTCTGGGCACGTTTTGAATATCCTTGTAGACCATATGAAGTCGGACAGTTTCTGATTGGCAATCGCTCCTTATGGACCACGCGTGCTTGTCCCGGTCATAACATTGCGTTTTCGTGGGCGACGCCACAACGCCACTGGACGCTGCCGACGACACCCCATGCTGATTGATACCCGTTATTACTATGCTGGATATAACTTCACTCAGGGTGTTTGCCAATAACATCTCTAGATGTACCCGAATCGTGCCCTAAAATAGTACAAATATACTTAAATATTATGACAAAAGATTTCACTATTGAATAAAAACTTTTATATTTAAATATCATGATGGTTTCAATTATAATCAGTACAAAAATACATACAATATATTTTAAGTAAGCAGGTAAACATAATATAGTTTACCATGATTTAAAATTTAAATGTACACATTGTATACGATATTCCACCAATAAATTTTGTCTGAGAGCTATTATTTCGATGTAGAATTAATGACAGTTAAATTCCCATAAGTGTTCATTATTACTCAGGGGTACGATTGTATAGGAAAAGGTACCATGTTATAAAGATGTGCGTTAACATATAATAACACTTTTATATTTGTTTACTGTGCATTGGGCAAAAACGAACAAAATTAACTTTAATTTAATTTGTATAATTATCATACATATATAAATATATCATACAGTTTTGACTATGATATATACCATACACCTGCATGGTTTTCCTAGATCATTTTTATTTTCAGTACACATATTTATTATATTTATCCCTCTATTAGAAATCCATTAGTTTCAAGTAAAATGTATCCTCATCGATCTTTTTATATATTTTGCCAAAGGCATGATAAATAATAAATACTTTTATACATTTTTATAAATTGGTTCATAATTATTATTAATTACGATACACAGTACGCCTCAACGGTTTTTAAATATTGAAAATTATATATTTCAATAATAATGCAGACTTAGTAGCAACAGATAAAATTAAAAATAACTAAACAGCTATAAAATGTTTTTTTTTCAAATTTTCAGATTTAACAAAAAATAAAAACTGAATCTTTATAAAGTTAAGCCTACATATTTTTTCATGTCAAGTGTTGATTGCCACGTCTTCAAGTGCAAACTAAAAACATTTGAATAGTAATTTGTTTAATTTATTCTGTGATACATTAACTGTAGTTTAATTTATATGAAATCCGTATTTGATTATACGCGATAAAATTACAAAGAAACCTATATCAGTAAAAATATTTATTCATACAAAATTTAAGAAATAAATCCATGTTCAGGGTAGAATGTCTCAAAATATCAAAGTGTAAAATACACAGTTCGACATTTTTAGATTTTTAGAAGAAAACGTGTTTGTATGTATAGAAAGAATAAATTAAAACCCTGCGAAGACAACTGCAACTTATCTAATTCGGTTTAGATATAAAAGCAGCTGCTGCTGTCACATACTAAAATCGAAAATGTTGTTGATCAATGGTTTATTCCTGTTAAGAGTTTTGGACTGGACTTTTCTGGTTTAAAACAAGACACTCTCGTCATTCGGTACAGGATATAATAATGTATTTCTTTATATAAATGTAGCCTAAATTAATACCTAAAAATAAATGTAATAACCGATTTAGAAAATAAAAAAATTATCACTATATCCCCATTATTAGTAAGAGAACACGCCGATTCTGCCTATTAGTCGATAATCGATACCAGCAGTTCCACTATGACAGGTTGTTACATGAGAATCAAGAGAACTGATTTTCATCGGGCTATGGCTTTTCGTTGAGCAGGTTTGTAGGTTAATGTATCATACAATATTATGACTGTATATAAAAAAAATAGTGCTATGTGAAATATACACCTAGTGGTACTTAACACAGGAAGACGTTAGTGAGTATAAGTAACCGTCAAATGACAAGCTCAAAGAAGTGGGTTCGCTGTGTAAAACCAATGAGTGTTAATGTGTGGTATCGTATGTTAGTGTGTATGAATGTATTGTGTAATTGTTTGTACTTAGTGAGTGATGGATTGAAACGCCTGAAGTGTACAGGTCTAAGATGGTTTGGCACTGTCCCAGATTCTGAAGATCTTAACAACTAAAATATAAAGTATGTCTAATTTGTTAAAGAAGTTGGTAATGACAGAAGAAATACTGCAATTTTTACAGTGTAACATTACCTCAAGTGTTATTCAGACGACAACTCCAGTTATATTATGAGTAACAACAGTAATCTCAACTGTGAAACACTACTGTTCAAAATTAGTTTGATAGACTATATTATAAGTATGAAATTCTCATAATTTATTACAATGACAATATTGTAATTATATTATAAAGAAGACTCCAAGGGTCTTTGGTAAATTATCAATTATCTCTGTCTAACGTTCTTACAAGTTACAATATGTCAATATTATAAAGAAAGTATGAAAAACCGATTTTTGCAGTTAGCTTTAATATTACGTGAACTGACCTATCATAAAACTTAAACTTGAAAACATTATCTAAGTTTGCACTTTAGTTTTGTGTGATATTTTAATTTTCAAGAGAGTTTAACAGAATTTTTAGATTATTATATTTTATACACCTACCCATACCTTGCTCAATAATGTAACTATAGTGAAAAACTAACATACAAACATATTATTGAAGTTTGATAAAAAGTTAATGCCATGCAAATGTAACATACTAAACATAATTGAAATAGAACATACAATCTGACTATCGTAATACTACTTATTAGATACTGTAGTATTTATAAGGTGTGTTAAAGCATAATTCCGTTAAATAAATCAAAATGTATTTTCCGATGTTCTTCCGTTCTCTGTAATTATTTAACTGGGCAATTCTCTGAAACATAGACCTATTTTTACAGTAAATTATAGAGGTTTTAAAATCTCGAAAGATGTATATAGTAGACAGGTTTACCACAATAAGCTCGGGTGGGTCCATAATCATGACTGTTGGGATTATTTAAGGTACACCTATAAAAGCTTCTTTGGCCTTGATTTTCATGTATGTAATAAACGGTTAGCTTTACTAAAGTAACAGAAGATTTTGTTGTTTATTCTCAGTCATATAAATAAAGGAATCGTAAGTTAAGTTAATTTATTATGGACCATGGTCCAATGTCAAATAATAAATATTTCATCCATTTTTTAGCATGTTAAAATAAAATATTATCTCAAGTTTCAAAAAATTAAAAAGAATCTATAATGACAAAATGTCAACATTATAGATTTAATAGAGAATAGTCGACTTATTATGTACCTATATAATTATGCATGCATCTGAAGAATCATTTCGTAGTTTTGATCGATTAGTGATTTTAAAGCCTATAATTTGATGGATACCTAACTTTAAAATTAACTATTTGAATTATTACCAAATTATGAATAGGTAGTAAGAAAGTAAGTTATTAAATAAACTATGACTATTATTTATTACTGGTTGATACAGAAAAGTATGGGGAAAAAAAATGTTGGGAGTTCCAACAAGTGGCTGTTTTTAATGAGAATATTGACTTAGTGCATTTAGATTACAATATTAAAATATAATGTGTATTAAACATGATATTACATAATATAAACACAACTATAACTAACGATATCGGAGGTAATTATTACCTCGCTAATTAGTACACGTAACACTAATCTATTTTTAACATTTACTTATTATTTCAAGGACATAACTAGGTAAAGCTAAATATCGGTGAGTAATTCAACTATTGCAACGTATAATCGTTACTATATGAATATAAAATTCCTAACATAAATAGTAAGTTCAGATAAGAAAAAAAACTACCTATAGAAAAGTTTTGGTATGGCGTAATCGACTTTTTTCCGCGTCAAAAGAATTTGTCAAAATCGAGTTATAAATACATAATTGAAAAAATAATAATTACATAGGACTATAATTGCCTCAATAATGTTGAGTATTTATTATTTAATGAATAAAGATTAAGAATGATATGTATGTACCTTGAAAAGAACTTAATAGTTAATCTTTTAATAGATTTATATATTTTATAATATTTGTCCAATCAAGATAAATATATATTAGCTTACTTGTGAAACTCAAGAAATTGAATTAGTGGGACGTGATTGAAATTCGAATACCGTAGCATTTATTCGTAATAATATATTTTAAATTCAGAAATAATTATTGAATTAACATAATATTTTAGAATTAATAAAAAATATTCTGCATTAAACTTATATATACATATATACACTTAAAAGTATATTATATATTTATTATTATGCTCACTATATTAAGTAAAAAGTCTAATCAAAAAATTTTTAATTTTAAATTTTTAAAAAACAGTCATCACAATACTTAAATAATATAAATTAAAAAATACAATCGTATTGTGTACCTGCATCCAGCATAATAGTTTATTGTAGGATTTGTATACAAATAAATTACTACAACTTCTAACAATTTAACCAGCTTTTATACACATTTTGGGTTGTTATTATATATTTAATATTTATATACATATCTACATACAAATACCTATACCATAATATAGTAAGATAAATTCATAAAATAATAAGTACCTACTTAAAATTCTTTTCGTGCATTTGTATGTATCATGTATTTAAGAATTTTAGAAGTATGACATTAAAATGTAATAATAAACCACTCAATGTTAGTAAAAAATATTACAATAATCCTCACAATTTGTATACCAACGTTATTAGTTGCGTAACATTATAACTTTTTACTGTTTAAAGATTCCTACGTTACAAATTTACAATGATAAACTCTGGTTGAGTTCGTACACTATACAAAGTACATCTATACAAAGATTACTGTAGTTCTTTTTTATCAATCTTTGTTTTCATTATTATATGTCTGAAATCCTCCAAAAATATCGACAAGCACTTATTTTAAGAAAACACTAGTTTGCTGAAAATAACCTTCGAATCCCCGTCTTATTATGTACATCATTTATTATTATTTCTTCTCAAGTTTCAATACTTCCACCTTAAATATAGGTACACCTCTAATATTTTATGGATATTTAAAGGTTATTCTCAATTTTTAGTAAATTATTATTACTGATTATTTCTTTTGTAAAGGTAGATAAACTTTTGTAAACATTAATTTATTACATATTCAAATTATTTAAACTAAAAAAAAAAATTGTCACATCGAAGCTATTATATGAATACAAATTCTGAGTTGTGTTTGTTTTTATTATTGAACTTAGCTTTGGTGATCAAGGAATGAATTTGTTTTAATTACGACGAAAAAAAGAAGTCAAAGATAAAATTAAATATTATAAATTATATTATTTAAATAATTTTAGATTAGTGTAATAAAGGTTAATAAATTGTTAAATATACAACAACTCTACAATAATTAGCTCAAACAAAGTTATACTTAAGCCAGTCATTAGTTGAACTAAATTTAACTATGTAAGAAATAATTGAGTTATAAACAATTTTATTGTACAAACCTTTGTAACAAGTTCAGAGAACTTATATCTGGGGTGCCAGCCATAGCTTTTTCCATCTGAATCGGATACATCATCCAATATTCCAGAGTCTAGACGTTTTTCTCCATCACCCAAAATTAACATGTACCGAACACGGCATTGATGGTCGAATCCTGTACATCGGTTTAAATATACCGACATACGGCCTTCAACCGAAGTACCTATAGGACAATCATTAAATCAATTAAATGTTAATATTACTTAATAATACAACATATAATGTAAATAATACAATAATTATGTATTTATGTATGTATATATGTATGTATGTAATATGTATGCATGTATGTAATTTTAAGTACATTCAAATTATAAGGTTCAAAATTATCTGATGTGAATAAATCTAAAAGCTGATATGTTATACCTTTGCAATAAAATTAATAAACTAAATAGTGTGATAAGGCACTCCTAAAAAAAATACTATATCATTTTTTTAAAAATTAAAATTAGACATCTCTGCAATTTCAACCTAGACACTAATTTTAGATTGGTAGATGACTAGAATCTAACTGGTAGGTATAAATTATAACCGTACACAATCATACTCAAATGAAAAATATTGATACTATACATTACATACATGTCACCAATTTGTATTAATAACTGAATAAGGAGTAAGAATAAAAAATGTATAACAGAAACAAGCTATTCCAATCGTAATTTTAATACATTACACCAAGGTCGTATAAGTAGCAATACGAAGTTCCCAACCCTTAATAGCATTGTCGGTGTCCTGTAAGATTCTGTCTTTAAAAATTCTATGATAATATTATATCGTATTTTATACACCTTAAATATCTTTCCCGATGAAACGCCCTCTTAAAAATAAAATATTCACAACATAATTTTTCTAATGCAATAATTAATTTCACAATTTTTTAGTTTGAATTAAAAAGTTTAGGTTTCATTAACACTGGTCCATATTTTCATTTTGCAATATTCCTATTAATTTTAAAAATACTTCTCCATTTATAAATATGTTTGCGTTATTATAACTATAATAATGTTATGATTATATTTAATTAATTTTGGATAGTACTACGAAGAAACTTTGCTACTACGCATTCATTATAAATTGTAAATGCAAATCTAACGTCGTGTCGTTAATAATTCAATATCTCAATAGGGTCGTCAATTTTTATTTCAGGTATATTAAATATTTTGAACTTTTGATAATCTCTAACGAAATTCTTCAACTAAATCGGATTAATATTTAATATAACTTATTTATGGCATAGCACCAATATCATTAAGGCTTTGTTACTTAGGACCTGAGTTTGAGTTTTAAAATGTACAATGCTAATTTAATTTTTAAATAAAATAATATTCAATGTTTAAAATAATATTAAGTAACATAGTAATAATTGTAATGTCTTTACAATTATTACCATACTAGTAACACAATTCACTTGAATAACATTTTTAACTTCGTAATTTTGAAAAGAAATAACATTTTGGACATGTTTTATAGTTTTATTACATTCATCGAAGTATTTCCTCATAATATGGAATGATTACGTATAAGTGTATGACTTACATATTATATCATATCCATAACAAATCACATATAAAATAGTAAATTAATTGGTAGTCGTTATGTTAAAAAATAGGTATGGTTTATAATACATGCACATTTTTATAAAATTACTTGAAAGAATAGGTTTAGTAAAAGCTTGTTCAGAATATGACGAAAAAAAATAAAAATTACCAAAATGTTCTACATAATACAAACAAAAATATCATGAATTATTTTATATTTTCTATTATTTTAAAAAAAACCATTGTATGAACAAAAGTTTTTTTTCATTATGTTAAGCTTTGAAAAAAAATGAATATAATATTATATCAGTAGGTACCTACAATCAAATCAGCAGTTGACGCTGCTGTATATTAATACAACTGCATAATGATAGTGAATATAAATATAGTATAAATAAATCTAAACTATAAATATACAAAACTTGATTTGAATTTTAGATTTTTTAGAAAAGCGAGGAACGTATTGGTCTTCTTATAATAGTATTCTTTTTTTTGTGTGTGACCGCTATCAAGAATACAAAGAGTGCATCAAAAACTTCAAGCAGTTCTCTTTATCGACTGAAAATTACATTTATTTTTTTTTTTAAGTAATCGTTTTTTGATACCATCAGTAGATTATTTAATGCATTAAATAAAGTTCAGAAACCGTGGTTTTAATCGAGATTTGAGCACAATCGTTGTTGTAATGCGATGATTTATGATATTTTCTAATTTGTAACAATAATAAACTATTTATAGGCTAGATGATCAACGAATTGATACGATAAAATACGGTTATTTGTTTGATTTACCGATTTCATTATTATATTTCTCATACAGACCAAATAGACACTTTTATTCATTATACCGGGTGTTATTTAATTTAGTGGCATCACAAATAGTGGTCTCATATTAAAATAATTTTATTAAATCTTCCTCAATTTTTCAATAATCACGTCTTATCATACATCTCAACAAAGAATACAAAGAAAGTATTTATAGATCTTTATTCATTTATATTACATTTGAATACGTGTATTAAATTTGTTCTGCAGGAAATAGTTATCTATTGCATAGTTGTAAATTATGATAATCATAGCGAATCGAATAATTAATTGCATTCAAATGTTAAATAATAATATAAGCGTTTTAACTGCAGATACATATAGAGCTTAACCACACAATGTAATGTTATTGTTGTAACGAAGGGATTGTATTATGCATGCGTGGAGTGTACATAAACACTATATTAATACAAGAGAGTTATTGTCTTGCAGTTCGTATAGTTTAAGTTCAATCATGTACTGATTGCTATTTGCTTCTAACATATTACAATTATTATTGTACGAATGAATAACACGTAAATGAGCATCGGTCACGATAAAACAGGATACGTAAATTATTATTTTTTACTATTAACCCATTGGGATATCAGCTCCGTATAGACATTCGCGCGGTTATAGTATCAACATTTTCGGACGACGTATGCAAACTGTGGCAATTATTATTTTTTTTTCAAAAACTAAACGAAACCGGAAGGAAAAACAATGCCCCGCAAGTAGTATGAGTGGGAGATTACCAATACGGTAAATTTTAAATCGTGTGTTTAACAATCATTCGGTATTCGCAGTGGATATTAAGAGATATCCATGACATGAATTAAACGACACACGGAATACCTATTAATAATTTTCTATCGCCCATCGTTGTGATAAAATATACAAACAGATAACAAAAAAACGGACACTTACACGATACGTCTTTGACGCCGTGCGGGTACAGCGCTAGATTCCAGTCGAATCCACCGAACGTGAAGTACGACGTTTCCAGCTTGCACTTGGTCCCCCTGGGCGACGCCGTACCGTACTGATGCTGGAGCGCGTTTCCCGCCGCCGGGTTGTGGTGGTTTTGAATCTGGTGGTGGTGGTGCATCAGCCTGGAGGTGAGCGACGTGGGCACGCCGAACTCCGTGTCGTACACAGTGCGCACGTGACCGATGGACAGTTCCAGCTGGAACTCGCCATTTGCGTCAGTGAAGTTTCGGCCGTACAGGTCGCTGACCGGTATGTAGTTTCGGTTCCCCTGGGCAGGGCAGTCCGTCGTAAACTTCACCTGCAACAAGACACGCACAACGTGGTTACATAGTATAATGGCAAATGGCAATATTTTATGCCGCACTTTAGAAACATCGTAAACGACACTCGGGTTTAAGTTGGTTATACAGCTTAACCGTCCTCCTAAGAGTGCCACTGAGTGTTTTTAAATAGCACTTGAGTAGAATATTTCTTTAACCTCCTGTTCCTATAACAAGTTTGCCTACGAATCATCGTACCGACATCTGCGAGCCCACTGCCCACTGTCTTCTATCAATATATAACACCGATAACAGAAAAAAAACCGTTCAAATGTATACTTTGATCTGTTTATCACTCTATCGAGAATTTTAAACTTAACCATTACACACAATAATTCAATATACTCATATAATATAATATTACAAACACATTTTACAATCACAACTCATGGAATATTATTTTGCCGATTGCACTCACGTCTCAGAAATTCATTACCTACGCACCAAGTAGGTGTTCCTTACACTGCGGTTGATGTCGGTTTATTACACATTTCACACTGTTTTTGTTACTATACCTACTTAACTACACGTAAAATGTGTGGGTACACAATGTTGGAATTTAAAAAAAAATAATACATTTACTAATACCATAATACTATTTTAATGTTAGTATTGAGTTTTTTTAAATATGTTTATAGTAATATTATGCATACCTGCGTGTCGGCAACAATATTATGAAAACATAAATAGTGTTTTGAAAATGGTTTAAAATTGAATAAATAAAGTAAAATCTACATATTCTCATAAACAAATGAAATAACATAATATGGAAAAACAAATTATGATTATCGACACTGTAAATAGTTTAAATAATTTTTATTGAAGAATAGTAAGTCAATCAAATATTTAACTTTTGCTACATGCCTACATTTGAAAGTTAGAATATAAAATTATTATAATTTAAGTAGGTACACAATTTTAACATAAAGCTTAAAACATTTTATTATTAAGTATGTTTTTTTTATTTTCTATACGTCAGTACATCTGACAAATAAATATACTTATTGAAGTTAAAAATGTTATCAATAATGCTCACAGAATAGGTATAAAATATATTATTTTATTTTATAATCTGTTAAAGTTGAAACATTTTAAAAGTAGGAAATGCTTTGAGTATAAAATGTAAATAAAGGCTTTTCAATTTTGCAATCAACAAAACTTGTATTCATACTTAGCGTTCTATGTAAAACTAAAAAACTATACTTACTAAATTATTGTATTTTAAATATTATCAATTGCATTATTATTAAATATTTATTTAATACCAGTTGATACCAAATCTTAGTTAAATAGAATCAAAATAATAAATTTATTTTTGGCAACGTGTTTTATACAAAATATCAAGGTTCTCCGTATTTAATATATTTACGATAAAAATGCACGTAAAAATATCATTGAATTAATTGAAACATACGATGGATAACATTTTCACAGTAAAAAGTATCAATTTCATAATTAACATTTACGAGTTCTTTCTATTTCTTGAACTAGCTAGGATTACTTTGGTCCCTATAACGGCCCAACTTATAGCCATATACTTTACCTCCGTTTAAAAATTCAGTATGTAGGGTCGTATACGCGTATAGCTTTAGTTTACTGATTTAGCTAATAGTGATAACAAACGGGAGAAGGGCATATATACTTCTATACCTATGTGTATTTAAAACATTAAAAAAAAACATTTCATAGTCAAGGCTATTATTCATAGAAATAAGAGAGTACAAATGATAGTACAATATAAGTCATAATAAAAACAAAATCTATATGGAATAAATATTTAAGAATGAATAACAATATAAAATTGTACCATTGAAATATTAATTACTGTTAAATTATAATACTTGTGAACGGTGATTTTAAAAAAATGTACATAAAATAAATTAGTGATGGTAATGACATTAATCAGGGAAATATAAAATAACTTTTCAAGTTGCAAAATACCCATAAAAATAATTTATGATCTCTGTCCAAATATAAAGATGTTTAAAAGGGTGAAATGATTATATACAATATATTATTATAAATCAACATTATTCAACAGTACTTATGAGTATTTTTTATACAAAACATGATAATTAATACTAATTATTTAATATTAATACAGGTAGGTAATATAAATGGGTGATGTACATACTCGTTTTACTTATAATAATTAAATATTTCAAACTCTGGATTTTAGAATTCAAAATTATACTAAAGATTAAAGACCATATTTTCTAATTATTTTTACATTTGTATGTAATTTAAAGAGTTTCCTGTGGCATACAAACTTATTTTATTAAAACAGAACCACGTGTTTTCGTAAAATGATAAGCAGATTAATTGTTTTTTTTTAATGTTGAAATATACTTACATATAAATACAAACGAGTAGTTTCAGAAGTATTAAACATTATGTACGAGTACGACGGATAATATCCTACGATAATAGGTTTAAATAAAATATAAATAATAAAACTTATTCGATTTTAAAGTACTAGACTAAATATTAAGTACATATTATTATATTTTGTATTTGTTGTAAAATCAATATCAAAGATCTATTACTTTGAATGAAGTTTAATACTATTTTATATGAATTTTCATTTTGATGATTGAATATCTTCAATAAAATCATCAACAATTTATAGTTAAAAAGAGTATCAAGTTCTCATTCGAAAAAATATGAAGCCTATTATAAATATATACGTAGTCACTTATATCTGATTTGCAAAATATTTGTATTAATTTTGTATTATTTATAAAATCTAATGACATATTATGTATTGTGATTTATAGTTAAATTATGAAAAATAAAAACGAAATACATTACATTTTTTGATTGTTTTTTATTGTAGGTAACGGTTGTAACCGTGTTTGAAATTTACTTATATTTTTGTTACTAAAATTATTTTCATGTTTCTAAAAACTATAAAAAAAAGTACTGTGATGCGTGACAATAATATATTTACTTTTAAAATACAAGTCTAACGTTTTATTACTTATTTTATATTTATTGTGTGTATTATTTATGTAACTCATTCAAATAAATATATTCCGGGATTTGTTTTAAAAACATGTAAGTATATAACAACTAGGTAAAAATTATTATACAGAGAAACACTTCTAAAATTATTAAATGACTAAAATGTAATATTTTAAATAATAATTACCCAAAACAAGCAACAAGTACGTATTATAATATATAGTACATCTGACATGATAATATGAAAATGAAAATATTTATAATATTGTAACTATATTATATCATTGTACTATACTATTACTATACTTCAACTAAGATAATAAACAAAGTATTATAAATAATTCAATAGCAATTAATAAACTGAATTAGCTAATGGACATAAAACAACAATAAGACAGTGAAAACAAACTGCAGTATATTTAAGTAGCTGTAGTACTCGAAACCAATGTCCAGAATACAGTCATTTTGAAAAAGCTAAAGGATAATATAAGCTTTATTTTTTGATTACTCAGTTGGAATCTTTTATTCTTTTATAAATACTAATGAAGGACCACAATTTACGTAATTAAATAATGGTTATTTAATAATATTATGATGATTTTTTTTAATATTTTACAAAACTTATATAGATTCATCTTTTATGTAACATTTATATATACATAATAATACACGGATATGTACGAATACATATTAATTGCAATACATTTAATATAATCAACATAAATCGTTGTTGTACTTTAATTTTAATTTTAATTTTTTCGAAGTACACATTTTGTGATCTCATGTTCCCTACAAAAATGTGGTTCATCGCAAAATTTACAATAAATGAAAATGTCCAAGTGTATGTAAATCCTTTAATTTCTAATCTTTAATATCTTTTATGTTTGTGAAAAATTATTGTTGTAATTGGTTTACCACGGAGAAATTGCTAGGCTTTATTTTAAAGGAAAATAAAATCCAAATTTAGCACTAAAAAATATGTACCAAAATTACCGTTTACTAATGGAGGTTAAATAATCATATAATATTATAAATTATATTGTATTTAAATTACAAGGTTTACGCCTATAATAATAAAATGTCATATAACATCAGATAATAATTATTTCAGGCAGTACCTAGTCCATAAGTAGTATCAAAATAAAATATGAAACGTCCTAAAATTTCCTAAGAAAAATTAGAATAAAGTCTGGATATTTCTCTCAGAAACTTTAATTTATAATCTATGACTGTAAATAGGTAAATACTAATGTATTGTTAATAAACAAAATAAACTTAGTTTTGAATTTATTTGCGTAACTTTTGAAATTCGGATTACCTATTTACCTGTTCTTTTAATAATTGTATAATCTAAAATATAGCGATATTATTGATCGCACCATTATTGACTATTGTAAATGTGTATTATAGAAACTTATAGAAATACAGTAAAATATTACTGTATTTACTGTAGTAAAATATTTTATACATGTTGATTGTTGATGATGAAACCTTATACACGTAACCGAAATTATATTAAAATTAAGAGCACATTATTAATATTATGTAACATATCATTTCTTTACATCAATTTAAATAGAACATAATTAACTACACAGACAAATAAATACAGAAATTCATATTTTTTTAAAAACTCTTTTGCTTAGTGTAAACGATTAAATATAGATGACAGTATGAAATATAAGTTAATTTAATTAATTGTGTGATAAAACTTTTGAAATTTTCAATAGCAAACTCATTTAACATTGTATAATCTGATTGGATAGATATTAATATACTTTGATGATTGGGACCTAGCCATTATTTTTATGATGGACGATGCTTATACCTCTGTTAATGGCCAAATTTCCCTGACAGTGTGATAAATTTATCGTACTTGGAATCTCCCGTGGGGATCACTACGATGTAAACCGCAGACATGAAACGATGGGAAAATTCGTTCGTTGGTGGGGTCGTATGGAATATAAGCAAAAAGGGGTCACAGTGAACAGGAAAGTAGTATAGGCTTACACAGTAACGCGTGGGTGAAAATCAAGACTACGTTCGTGTGAATAATTTATCGAACGTCTTTCTACCGGAATTATTCAAACAGGTATGCACCCATACTTTTTTCTTTACAAAACGTATTATTACATTCATAATATTTTGATGTCATCATTTCTATAACTAATATAATCTTTGCATACCACCTGCATAAATAGGTACAAATATCCTCACAGAATAAATTATATACATTAAGAATTTTAGAAGTTGTAGATTCATTAAAAAAAAAATGTATTCATACTAAAAATGTTAAAATCAAGTTCGTTCATCACAATAATCATAGGTACATTATTTTAAAGCATTATGCTAAAAAAATCATTTTTACGAAATATTATAACTCTAAAGATACTGTATACGAATAATATAGGTTTAAAGCTTATTGATCTTATAATATATTTTCTTCTTAAGAGAAAAATGACAAGTGTGGTGACAGTAAAATAAATAATAAACTAGATGTATACTTATGCAAATATATTTAGTTTAAAAGTATTATTATACATGGCATAACTAAAAAAATAGTATGAATTTAATAGTAAACCAGATTTAAAAAATACATATTTTTATTATTTTTATATTATTATACTAAGAATTCACAAACACACATAATCTTAACTATTTGTGTTCAACAAAAACTATTTACTTTGTATAGCACAGTAACAGATGACGAATTTTCGTAAATAACATTTTATGGCGAATTTATTAATAAACTTAACCTATGAAAGTGTAAACTGTAAAGTAAGAGTTATATTTTGTTTTTATTAAATTAGAATAATTTACAATTTTTATTCTAATGCCGATAAGTATTATAAGCAAATGAAGTGTAAAATAATAGGACCTAACGAGAGAATGTATAAATGTATAACTACCAATTATCGAGAAGTTTAACTAATCAATGATGTATAGATAGAGAAGATTGAACCGTCTATTTAAAAAAACTAATAAACCTAAAGTTGTACATATTAATTATCTTAACTACTGTATAGTAATAATTGTGTTCTATTTGATATAATATAATATCAATACATTGTATGAGTTCATGTATGTGAATTTTAGTTCATATTTAATTATTAACAGCTATTTAATTGTTCTTATTTTGTATCAATCTTAAGGCATGTTGTAAGTTCACAGTAGAAATTGAATTCTTGATTATTTTCTATTTAAAATATTTTGTTGGATGTACTTTTTATATTTGATTATTATTATTTATTAATATATTTTTTATCGTTTAAAAGTTCTATTCAACAAACCTTTTGTAAACTGTAAAGTATGAATGGTAGGTAATTAAGTAATTAAGTTTTAAAAACAAAAATGTTTACATAACTTTGAAGTATAAACTTGATTTGTTCAGCATAGCTTTAAAGATTTAAGTTAATGATATATCACAAACTTTTATCCATATTAACATGAAAAACACTTGTTGTAGAACCTTAAATCAAAACTGAAATAAAAACAAATAAATTGGCAACTTCCATTCGTTGTTCTCAGTATTATTTCATACTGTCATACATTTTTGAATGTTAAGTCTTTGATTAATTATTCTACATATTAATTAATAATAACAATTATTTAGGTATATAATTACTATTAAATTACGTTAAATGTTAATGATTTATACTATTCTATATTTTTAAATTAGAATATATTTTTGATTGTTTTCATAGAGCCATACAAGTATAAAATATGTTTGACCAACAATCAATCAAATCTACAATACATTGAGTATATATTGAGGAAGGTAAAAAAATATTTGACTGAGCTACATGCATGCCTTAATAAATTTGTTAGTGAACTTGTTTTACTATACATAAAAGTATAGTAAAATATCATTATTAAACCTGATATGATGTTAAAAAAATATTTTTTCGGAAATTCTACAAAGCATGATCCGTACTCGGAAACCTGCATAGTTTCCTAATTGTATTTACTGAGAAACTCAAAATGACGAAAAAAATTAAAAAATACTAAACGGATCTTTAGATATTACATTTATGTTAACCGTTCTGTGCTACATAATTTTGTAACTGTTTAATATAGTTACAACACTGTAATTTAAACATCGTCATCATTGCATTTACACAAATATCCAGACATTCTATATTGTATAGAATGGTCATTATAAAAATGATAATGTCAAATCAAAAACTCATAGTGATTTTAATAAAGAACATAAAAATAAAAATAATAAAGGTATAATTAGAATAACATATATTTAAAAATTTAAAAAAGAAGTAAATAAATGTAATTTATTTGATCTACTCACTTGTTTACCCGCAAATGATTCGTTCACGCTGAAATGTTCACGGTTGAGTATAGTGAACGTAAAATCCACATAAACGCGCACCGATTCGGAAGCACTCTTCCACACTAGATACGCTCCTAACATCTTGTCAGTTCGTGAGAATGTGATTGACCATTTTTGATGGCCACAAGCAAACTCCTTGGACGTAACGTCCCGGTCTGGATCGCGAGTTACTGATTTGGTCACCACGAATGTAAACACATGGGTCTGAAAACGGTCCGGCAACTTAACTAATCTGTACAAGAGTGCCATGATTGATCGATGATCGCATTACTCAGCCTGTGAACAGAAAAATACAAAATAATTACATTGTGTCGATTTACCAGTTACTTGAAAACTGCGAATAATTGTATTGTGCCTTGTATGTTCATTGTTCATATTCAACAAACAATCACAAAATAACAAATATAGAATATAATATAACCTACATAATATTTATAATTGTATTAATAAAATAAAAATTTTGAGTTATAGTACCTAAAACTGTTATATTTTAAAATTTTAATTTAAAATATACTGGCTGTCATGTTCAATGGCCATCTCAGAACTTTTTAATGATAGGGATAAAAAATTGATTGGAAAGCTTATCGCAGGGTTGTAATCCCCCCCACCATCAACCAAAATAAAAATAGAATATTCAATAAATCTCAATAAATATTATTTTTACCATGTCCCTTATTTCAAAAAATGTAACTGTCAATTATAAAAGTAAATATACCAATTTTTCTTGATTTTGAAGACATCAAGAACTTCTTTGAACAAAGAGAGCATTCTAAAAAAATCTTGTTTAATTTAGAAAGATAAATGACATCAGTAAATTTACTCTTTACTACATACAAAATTTTTTATCACGAGTAACTTGTATATAATATGATGAATAATATTTAAAATGTAGAATCTTCAGTTCTTAGGAACATCAGTTCTACAATGTACTTTAATGACCCCAAAAAATAATATACTTTTGTTAAGTTATCCTTACTTTATTTAGTACCTACCTCTTTTTTTAAATGTACATGTCTAGTAACTTACTTAAAGTAAAAACTTTAAAAAACACACATCATTTTAATTTATAATTATAAATATATTCATAATTGGTAAATACTGGAAAATATTGAATGATGTTATGAACACATAGCATTTATGGTTGTCATACGAAATTTACGATTTTATTAGTTTTTTCGGTCATTTATGTTATTAGTTCAAGCAATAGCTGTTTGAATGTTTGATTAAAACAATAGTAAAAAATTTATCAAGTTTTCAAATGTTTGATAATTAAAAAAATGTATAAAAAGACAGCGACTCAAAAATTATCGATCAATTATAATGAAAAATATACGTTTTTGTTTTTTATGATAAGTGCATTACAAGTTTTAAAAACAAATTCAATATCTTAAATTGCACATTATAAAATTTTAAATGTATAGATAAATATTATTAAGATCGACATTTTTTATTCAATACTATCAGGTACGTTTACTCGAAATTTTAAATCATTCACAAATTATTGAAACGCCTTTAAAGATCCAGACTGTATAACTCTTCTGAATTTATATTACCAAAACTTCGTGTTGTTACGAAATAAACTGTTCCATGTTGAACACTGAAACTCTAAAAATGTAAACTAATAAAATATTAACGACCAGACAAGATTGAAAATTGTATAGTTTTTGGACCATCTCTTTAATCCTCTAAAGTTCTTGAACTTTTAACAAGTTTATATGATAATATTTTTTAAACAAATACCTCCTTTTTAAGTTGATTTTGTTCTCACAAATATTTTATGTTTAATTTATAAAATAATAATTAGTTGATTAAAAAAAAAAAAAACATTAATATATTTGAGTAAGATAAAACAATTATAAAAATGCGCGTTGTTCAGCAAAAATATGATTGTATCAGGAAAATATAAAATATTTTCCATTAATCACACAGTTTTTATTTTTTAATAAAACATCTGTTTTTATTGTAACATCGGAAACAATATAATACATAGTATTTTTTTTTTTTAGCCGTTTTTAACTTTAGCATCGCATTGAATATAATTATTTTTCTTGTTTTTATTCTTGACACTTATTAATCCAAAAATACAATGGGTATAATAACCATATAGTAATAAATGAGTAAAGAGAGTATAAGAAATAGTTGTTAATCCTACTTAGTTGGACTTACAGATGAATCTTGTGGGTTCATAATGAACAAACTAAATATTTTTTATTGTGTATAGTGTACAAGTATTATTATTATTATTATTATTATTTTAGTAAGATTATTAATTGTTTTATATGAATAAGCCGTTATACATATATTAAATATGATAAAAAAGACAATTATTGTGTCAAAAAACGATATGGTAAAGTCGATAGAATTCAAAACGCAAGGTGTAATAATATAATATAATAAATAATAATGATAATATTATGACGTTTTGTGTTATATATCTATAACGTTACTCACGTGACGAGGTAACACGCATATCAAACTGCAGTGTACACTCGCAAATAATGGATATAGATATGACTTCGCGATATGCCAGTATATAATATTATTATGGTGATAAACTGTGTGCCTAACAAATGTCGAGATATAATATGTACGACCTAGACGTCTGGAAATAAAAATTAATCCTTATCAGCTGCTCGTCGTTATTTCTCTAAGCTATAAATGCAGCCTTAAAATCGAGCATTCGGAAAGAAAAACTCTTTCCGGCTACCTCGATTATTCGACTACCTACGTTATTTTTCATCCAAAGAACACTATTAGATTACATATTTGGTGGACCCTTAAATACATGTTGTTCAGGCTGAATCCTTTTATGTCCTTGTTAAATGACAGTCGAGCGTATCAAGAGCAGATGATGCAGATGCTGGAAGTGATTGGTCCATTTGTATTGCAAAATCACGTCGTCACGCTGACTGATCCCTACATACGATTAACCAGATTGTGCGGTCACTGGCAAGACATTCTTAGAAAACTACTGTTTTAAGGCTGCTTATGTATCTATACATAACTGTAATAAAAACATCACTTAAAATGTGCATTAATTAATTGCGTGATACTCTCGAAATGTCTGACATTCGCTTTAGCATAATACATTTCCCTGTCAGCGGTTGGCTTGTATATTTTTATTTGGGTGACTTTGGTTAGGTTTGTGAGAAAGAAGTCCGCGCCAATGATACTCCTATATGATAAATAATTTAAATTAGAAATTATGAAATTATCATTTTGTTTAATACCCTTTTTCCTATGGTATTGCTATACAGTAAGACTTATATGGTAATATTGCTATACATAATACAAACATGGAAATGCAGATGGTATATTTCTAGTGTTAATATTTACACAAACAGTTATCATGCAATAGTGCACAGACTCATATACGGCATTATCCTCCTTAGTTTCTTTGGCTTTCCCAACGATTAAATAAACAGTTATTTTATTATCATAAAGTACCTAAAAACGTTATTACATATATAAGCTCTTATCTTATATTCTGTCACTCTACCTATCTATTACTTAATTAATTTTTTACATGCACCTAGAGACTATGACATTTGTAACTTATTAATAATAATGATTGCTAAGACACACCTCACAAAATCGTAAAACTAAGTAGCAAACAACGTAACATATTATAAAATCACACACATTATGCCACTAAATTAAAATAAATTGTTATATAAGGGTATATACTACGTATATTCACACATCATATCTTTTTTGTAATCCAGCTTCTTTTTTTGTTTTAAGTATCTTATAAGAAATACAATTGATAAAGTCAACAGATAATTCCAATGAACGAAATGTCTTATAAACTAACAAACGTGCGTGCATGTTCGCTGTTTTGTTGAGTATATTATTATTATTATTTATACCATAACAATACTACCATGAAGGCATGAAAGCACGAACACACAACACATATTTGTTAGTCATTCGGTATTAAAATAATAAAATATATATCCTACTATTTTTATTATTATCCACAAACTTCTATCTGTCCTAATCATAATTTTTTTCAATAACAATAATATAAAAAATGTATTAAAATACACTTAGAGCACTTTTCGATATTTAAAAATCTCAAAATCATATAAAAACACCCATAAACAATTCTTTTTTTGGAATAAGTTCAATCTGTATAGTATATATTTTTGAACAAGAATTTAAGATTATTTGGTTCAAAATACATTGAGTTAGCAGGGGAAATTTCAATTCAGAAGAAATTCCTTGAAGGCACTATACTATCAAAAAATAGATTCATACTCGATAGTTTTTTAATTTTATAATTGTTTAAGTAGTGCAAATCCTTTCAGAGTGCTCATTGTTACACTAGATACTATTATAATGTATTAACTAGGTAAGAAAATATCGGTTAAAAATCCATTTTTCATAATAATAGTATCAAAACATGGAAATAGATTTAAATTCGTTAAAAGCTATACATTCTTATTATATCTAACAAAATATATATTATATGTTTTTAATAAATTAAATTGCTCCATACAATCCAAAAAAATCACATAACAAATTGTTTATCTAAAATAAGGTTCATATTATGAAATATATTATAACTAGGGCAAGGGACTTCATACCCATGAAAACCTTAAAATATGCATTTATTTATACCCTAAAAATAAGCGAAATCACTTAAATATGCGTTAAAAGCCAAAACATTTTTTTAATTCAGAAAAATATTTTAGAATATTGAGCGATGAATGTATTGATTTTTCAATGATGTGTGTTTTTTTATTTTTATTTTATTTTTATTTTTGTGTCTGTCATCACGGTTCGAGGCAGTAAGAGTGTTTCGATTTTCTTCAACAGAAAATTTTCTGAAGTGAATCTATTTGGTGCATTCGGTCAAAATTTAAAATTCCCCAAAGTTTTCAAAAGCGACAGGAAAAACAAACAAAAATTAAGAAAAACGGGAATTTTTACGCAAAATCGGTTTTTTTAGATTTCGATTTTGTTTTTTAGTGTTGATCTGAAAAAAATACCATAAACACATGCAATTTTTACTGAATGTTTATGACTTATGTTAGCATTTTCTATACAACATTCAATTTTCAAAATGTTTGATTCATATTGAACTATTTATAGGCATATGAAATTTTCGGTTATTATTAGTTTTTTTTTTCGATTAATGTCTACAAAAAAATATTAGCTCTTTCAAAAAAATTGAAAATATAATACAATGTCCCTATAAGTTGTTCGTACAAATTTAAAAAAAAGTTTAGAGTAAATCCACAATATTTTTTTATGAGCGTCTGAGTTTAAAA